AGGCCTTGCCAACCGCCTAGCCCTGGTTCAACCGCTCGGGGCAGTAGGGTTCATTGGGTCCGCAATGAGCACGAAAGACTTTGACAAGAAGGAAGAGGCATTGCGCCTTGTTTATGAGATTTGCCCCCACATTCAGTTTGGTCACTTTGTGGCCAATTCATCAATATTGGAAGCCTTTGAGGGAGAGAGTTTTGTTCATGTGGTAGACCTTGGGATGACCCTTGGTCTACCACATGGAGACCAGTGGCGAGGCTTGATCCAAAGCCTTGCCACACGCACAGGCCGGCCGCCTACACGCCTCAGAATAACTGGGGTTGGCCTTTGTGGTGACAAATTGCAAATCATTGGAGGAGAGCTCGAGGCCTACGCCGAAAGCTTGGGAATAAACCTGGAGTTTTCTGTGGTGGAAAGCAATTTGGAAAACCTGCGTCCGAAGGACATCAAAATGTTTGATGGTGAAGTCCTTGTTGTCAATAGCATTCTTCAGTTGCATTGTGTGGTGAAAGAAAGCAGAGGAGCTCTCAATTCTGTCCTGCAGATGATCCATGAGCTTTTGCACAAAATCTTTGTTCTTGTGGAGCAAGACTCAAGCCACAATGGACCATTTTTTTTGGGGAGGTTTATGGAAGCACTGCATTATTACTCTGCAATCTTTGACTCCCTCGATACCATGCTGCCAAAATATGACACGAGGCGCGCGAAGATGGAGCAGTTCTACTTTGCTGAGGAGATTAAGAACATAATCAGCTGTGAGGGGCCGGCAAGGGTGGAGAGGCACGAGAGGGTTGATCAGTGGCGTCGGAGGATGAGCCGTGCTGGGTTTCAGGCTACGCCGATTAAGATGCTGGCGCAGGCAAAGCAGTGGCTCGGAAAGATCAAGGTCTGTGAAGGCTACACTATCATGGAAGAGAAGGGTTGTTTAGTTCTTGGTTGGCAATCCAAGCCCATTGTTGCTGCCTCCTGCTGGAAATGCTAATCAAACATTTTTCGGTTCCAAAATCGCAGCTCAAAATTCAGTTAAAAAACCAAAAAAAAAGTAAAAAAAAATCCCAACTCACATTTCACTCCAAATTCCAATAAAACAATTCCAGGGATCTTGGAAAGCTGATTTGGGTGACTACTTCGTGTTCTGTGTCATTCGCTGCAAACTGTGTTGGAACAGTTGAAAAATAAGTGAGTTTGGCTTTCAAAGTTGAGCTGTTTAGATGGAATAAAGAGGAAATAGCCTCCTTGGTGTGGATATTTAATTTAGGCTGAGATTAACATTATTTCAATTGTACATGAATTACAATTTATTTCATTCTTTTTAATAATCAAAGGTGACAATCTTAGTGATGGAAATTATGAAAGTTCCACAGAGTCTCTCTCAAAAATTATTCTAAAGCCAATCTCAACTTTCCAATGTAAAGAGTTCAGATTTTGTAGAACAATGTGCTAGATTATTAGTAATCTAATGTCCAAAATAATTGAGAGCAAGTAAATAATTATGTTGAAGGGCATACAATCTGCTAGTTTTATTTATAATTGTCTTCCTCATTTAGCAGAACTTGTGGGTGAAATTAAACTTTACATGAATGGAAAATGGGAAATATGCACAGATAGAATGATTGCAAAAAAGTCATTCAGTACTATAGTCTGGTGGCATTCTTTTTCATTTGGGAGTGAGAGGTTTTATGTTTGAATCTCGTGGATGGCGAATTCGATACCAAATTAAGTTGCCTATTATGTGACTTAGCCGAACTCCCCATCCTCTTAGTGTAAAAAATATCAATGAACTAAAAAAAAAATGAAAATCATACATACAATAAAGTATGTTAAACTTCAGTTCATATACAAGTTAGAATATTGTTCGGAATACCAAATTTAACTCACATCGACATAGCAGTGTCTGATTTATTCCAATATGGATTCGGGTTAACTATTAACACATACATTGTAGCATTATTGATACAACAAATATTATTTAACATTTTTTTAATAAAAAACGAAAATTCAAAGGTCAAAGGTGTACGAGTCTCACAAAGGCTTGGCATTATTTGAAAGGCATATTCACAAGATAAATTCCTTGGAGTGTGTGTGTACACAAATTGCTTAAGGGGAGGAATCCTTATTTTTTTTAAAAAAAGGACACGCTTCCCACCATTAGATTGATTTTAATGAAATTATGTGGTTAAAATTAAAAAACATGCCACACAATCTCAACCACACAATTTCATTAAAGTTAAATCCAACGGTGGGGAGCGTGTCCTCATTTTTTTAGAAAACCGGGGATCCCTCCCCTTATATATGTATGTATGTATATGTATGTATGTATGTATATAAAAGAAGCCTTTAAGAGTAGGGATTCTTATTTTTTTTATAAAAATTGGAATTAGTTGTGAGGTTCATACCACATCGAACTTTAATGATCTGAACCGTCTATTTTTTAAATTGCACCTCATAGATCATTCTTGCAAAATATTAGTCAAACTAGAAATATTTAAGACATCTAATTGGTTCAAAAAAATTAATGAATACTTTGTTATATGAGAAATAATAAAATTTTATCTTGATAATTAAATAGGCAAATGATTTCGGATTAAATTGAATTTGTGCAAGGACGATCTATGAATCGAGATTTACAAAATAGACGATTTGGATCGTTGAAATTCGATGTAAAGCGAACCCTATACCTAATCCCTATTTTTTGAAAAAAAAAATAGAAATTTCTTTGTGGAAATGGCCTATATATATATATATTATTTACAAAAAGTTTAGGAGGAAAGGAGGTTATCCATTACGGTGCATATCATAAGTCTTAACCCATTTACTTTTTACAAATTGTTCATCAAAACGGATTGATGATAGCGGAATCGAAACTAATTATTCACCTAGCAAAGAGAGTCGATACTTACCGACTCAATGAATTTTCAAATAATTTTAGAAACTATTTAGTTAAAAAGTCAAAAATAAATTACTCATGAAAAAATGATTATTATAAACACGTGCAGGGAGAAAGGGAGGGATAGAGAAAGAGAGAAGCAGAGAGACAGAATGGAAACCGTGGCCGTGTTTGGTGGAGCAAGTCCAAGCTTTCCCTCATCCCATCAAAGCAGAAGAACCTGCAGCAGCTTACCCTCCGCCCACCACAACCCTAACCTACGTGCCCACCACCACCACCACCACCACGACGAACTATCTGCATTCCCTTCAAGTCTCCATCTTTTCTCATATCTCCCGGCTCGTCCCCATGCCAGAACCCTCGCCAAACCTCGCATCTTTCTTCCCCACTTGGTTGCTTCACTGGTTTGCCTCCTACCCTCTTCATATTTTTCAAAATTGTTGAAAACCCGTTGTTTAATTTTCCATTTAGTGAAAACCCATTTGGATTTTTGGGATGTAATGGCGGCTTTGTGTTTTTTCAGGAACAAGTTGATGAGACGTACATAATGGTGAAGCCTGATGGAGTTCAACGTGGCCTTGTAAGCTAATTCAATTCTCGAACTTTGTATTTTTGTATTTTCTTCGTCAAATTTTAACGGCTCTATGTTGTGTTTGGATAATTGGTAGCAGGAAAAACATGGGGCGGCTATGAAATTTTTGAAATTTTGATTATGTTCTTAATTTTCAGTTTCTGGGGTTTTGAAAAAACGAAAGCTTGAAGTTTAAATTGAATCCAATTTATTGACTGGACAGGAGGAAGACCCTTCGGGTTTTTTATTTTAGCTTTGTATTCATAGTTTATCCATATGTGTGATATGGAGTGAATTGTTTTAGGTTGGAGAGATAATCTCAAGGTTTGAAAAGAAGGGATTTAAGCTGACTGGCTTGAAGCTCTTCCAGTGCCCCCAAGATTTGGCAGAGGTTCGTCTCTTTTCTTCCGTGCCTTGTAGAAAACCCGAAATAAGCTTTCGAAAGTACATTATTCTGGTAGTTCTGTATGGTCACTTTTTAAAGCACCTATTTGATGAATTAAGCAAAAGGGGAACTTCATAATAAGCAGCTCGGAACCGAAAAAGCTTTGAGTTGTTTAGCTCAAGAGATAGAGCGTCATGAGATTCAATCTTGTATTCTTTGCAATCAATCTTCAGATGCACGCAATTATATCTTGTTTACAGTGTTCAAGTGCATTACGTATTATTTGAAAAGATAGTATGGTTCGACTGTGTGCCCTTATGTGCGTGACTTTTGTTGTTTCAGGAGCATTATAAGGATCTCAAGGGAAAGTCATTCTTCCCCAAATTGATAGACTACATTGTATCGGGCCCCGTTGTGTGCATGGTATGAACGATTGATCCTAATTCTCCTCAACTTTGTATGTGTCCCAAGGAAACCAATGAATCCAAGCTGTATTTTAGCTGTATTCTCTTACAAGAATACTGATCATGATGTTATGCTAGCAAGGCATGGGAGGGTGTTGGCGTTGTCGCTGCAGCACGTAAGTTGATTGGGGCCACAAATCCTCTACAAGCTGAACCGGGAACTATAAGAGGGGATCTTGCTGTTCAAACAGGAAGGTTGGGCTCTTTAACGTTTTGGTAGTTGAGTACTGATATGTGCATTAAGCTGCATCAGGTTGCTAGTAATTCTTTTATTTTCACTTTATGGCATGCGGATTCTAATGGGGAGAGATCTTGTATGAAAATCTTGGCAGGAACGTTGTTCATGGGAGTGACAGCCCTGAAAACGGAAAGCGCGAAATAGGTAGGAACGTTTCTAATGGATATTTTTCATCTTCGACCCCTCCCTCTTTTCTGTCTCATTCGCTATTTGAACTATGCAGCTCTCTGGTTCAAAGAAGGTGAATTATGTCAGTGGACACCAGTTCAAGCACCATGGTTAAGGGAGTGATTTCTCCGAAACGCTCAGATCTAGCAAGGGACGCGATTTTGAAAGAGTTTGCTGAGCCCCTATATCTATGTGTCGGTTATGTATGTGATCTTAGACGATTCAATAACCCGTCATAAATTATCATTTTAAATCTGTGATTTTGAAGCTTGAAGAATTTTTTCGTATTCATCGGCGTTGTACCTCTCATTCTTTCAAACTAAATGATGAATCACAATATGATTCCAAATACATAAACATTATTCATCCCTCAATTGGGTTTATAAAGTTACAACACTTAATCGGCTTGACACTGATCGTGCATGATCATGCCCTCCGTTTGCAATTTTCTTCAACAAACAACGTAGATAAAGACCACGACAAATCGCCAGTGCGAAATTAGGCGCAACTAGCAGGTAAAGAGTTCCTACATTCCTGTTCCGAATGTTCTGTGCTGTTAAAAGATTGGCAACCGCTAGAACTTGGAGAAATACTTGCATTCTCTGTCATCGTTGTATCCCCAGAGGATGAGCAGTTTGCTTCTTGAGCCCTCTTAAATTTTGAAAAGAGGTAGAAAACTGAAACGTTTGTGCTCCGTTGCTGTTTCAAGGTGCCTGTCGAATGACAATCACTGAAACTCGTCGAACTTCTTGGTGAGGAACAATCCGTGTCTAGTGTCATAAACTCCTCTTGAGGAGAGCTGGCGGCTTCAATACAACCCGGTGAAGTGCCAGCAGAAGAAGCACAATTCGCATCTATCTTCATTGGCTCTGAATCGGGAGAGCTTGAAGTAGAACCGGCATCTGTCTCCCCTGCCTCATTAGAGCATGGACTTAAATTGCGTTTAGCACCTAATTTGAGCTTCAAAAGTGTAGACTCTGCATCAAAGAAAAGGGAAATCAATGACAACGATCGCGTTCGCGGCCTAGCAGATGGTTACCCAAGTGAAATTTTTTTCCAAACAATACACCAAGCATTCTTCCAAAGTAACAATCTTAGCTAGCTAGTAGCTACATGTAAATTAAAACACCTATACAAAATGAAGAACTTGCTTGCCCCGAAGAGGGAAAAAAATCGAATTGAATCGGTGGATCTCAGATTCTCGGTCACCAAAACATGGCTTTATGTGTAGATTGAAGAACCAAGTGGGGAAAAACAACGAGGTGGGCGAATATGCAATACAGATTTCTGCTAAGATTATGAGGTTGCAACACTCCATAAGAAAAATAATGTCAGTGAAGCAAATTATCAAACAATTGGCAGTGCCCAGAAGCAAGCGCGACGGAAAATACGTCGGCAAGTCATTCGGAATTGAAAAAAAAGAAAAAGAAAAAAAAGACAGTAATAGGTGGAAGAGGAGCAGTGGTGTTACCGTATATAGAAAGAGAATCGTCTTTGAGAATCTTGGACGGCGGTCTCTCCAAGCTCTCCGCCGGGCAAGACGACGCTCTTATCCTCCCAAACATCTCTCAGTCTCTCTCTCTCTCTCTCTCTCTCTCTCAGATCTGAATCGTGTGGTCTTCACTTTGAGGAGAGAGAAACTAGAAGTGAAGGGCGCGGGAGAAACAGAGGACTGGCGGGAAGCATGCTTTGAACTCTTTCTTTTTGGGGCGAGCCCGACTGCATTGACTGGGCCAGACCCTTGGCAACTTTCTTATTTTATTTTATTATTACAAAGATCATGAGAATCTAAGAGGTGGGATGTTGGACACGAGACCTCTCATTCACAACTAAAGAAAATGTTATTAGATCGTAATATGTTTCCATTTGAACCGTTTGCTTGCAACTAGACACCATACGGCACACGTAGTTGCTTCGTTGTGCTTTTGCTTGGATTGCCTTAGGGTAGAGAGGATGAATGTGTTTATATTTTTAGAACATAAAATCAGAGTAAAGCAGTTTTTAGTAGTCCAATTATGATTTAGGGTTAATTACGGTAGTGGCCTCTAAACTTGTAACCGCGTTCTACTTTGGTGCTTCAATTCAGTTTGCAAAGTATATGGCCCTTCCAATTGCGTCACGTGTCTTTAGTCATTCCATCTCCATTTGAAAGCTAAAATGATCAAAATAGGCGAAAGTGGGATGGAATGACTCAAGTGAGACCTGCGACGCAATTGAAGGACCAATATGGAACAGGGGCATGAGTTCATGGACTATTGTCGTAACTAACCATAATTACACGTAGAATAGAAGTGAGAGCATAATTACATAACGAATACAGAATATACACCATTGGATGAATTGAATTTTCGTCCTTTACGTTTAACATTAATCACACAATCAGGAAAAACACTATCACTATATCAGTAAAAGGCTACCTCTTCTTACAAGATAATCAGTCTCTCCTGAATAACCTCGATAAACCGCGCCTACGACTACTGGCTTTGATAGGCCTACCTGGTAGAGAGAATGTGAATGAAAGAGACATCAGAAAACAACTCAAGGGGTAGCATTCAAACATTGCGTTGAATAATAGCAATTCCGTGAACATGCTTCCTCATGACGGGGTTAGCACAAGAATTTGGAGTTTGGAAAGGCTACCTTTTAATCTCCCAGCACGGAACAAAGCTTCTTCTGCAATTGGTCTCCATTGTTCTGCACATGAGTAGTTGATTCCCAAACCGACGCTAAGTCCTCTCAGGAGATGCACTGTCCGAAGTACAGAAAACAACTCCTCTGGAAAACCCTACAAGAGCCAGGGACAATAGGGGAAACAGCAAGTAAAAAATCGCTTGTAAATTAGGAAACACAAGACATTAGAGTAAGAGAGAAAACAAATTAATGCCTTTGCTAGTTGATAACCAAAGTAATGAAATGATGTGAATTAAGGAGTCGATGAAAATATGGAATCTAGGGATACCTGAACTGCAATTTTTTTAATTGAAGATTCGTCAGAAAAAGGCTGCAGCATCGTCACTCCGGGGGGTAATTTTGTGTCAAACATTGTCTGTGCCAACTTCAACATTTCATGCTGTTCATTTTCACATTTGCTTAAGGTTTCTATGCCAAGCTCCCTGTAAAGAGGAATAAATTAGTACAATGTGCATACACAGTCAACCGGGAAAGCACCTTATTAAACTGAGATTGAAAAACGAAAAGAGGTCAATTTTTTACTTAGTCCCAGGTTTCATATATGCAAGATGAGCACAGCAATTCAACTATTTTCTTTATTGCAATTCCATCTCCATGAGCCTCACACTCACATGCACTTGCGTGCAGTTTGCAGCTTGTATATGAGCCTTAGTTTCTTTTGCCTTGTTGGCCACTTATGCCCATTTATAATAAGTATAACAACAACAGTGAAGCTATTAATTACCTGTAGCTCTCCGATGCTCTAATAGGGTCACCGTCAGCAATGGCAAGAACAAGGTTAGCATAGCCAAGTCTCAACTCATTGGGTAGATCTTTCACTTGGCCATAGTCCAGCAAGGCAACCTAACTTGGAAGAATTGTACAAATTCTGAATCAGCTTACCGTTCAAATTAAAGGAAATGTTATCCATAATGTAAGTTATTAACTAGTAAGACAAAAGTATGTAGCTTTCCTGGAGAAAAAGCATAAAATATGAAAGATTTTCCTACAAATTTAAGTTGGTCATTTACCTCCGAGCCTTTACAAATTAGAATATTTCCTGGATGAGGATCTGCATGGAAGAAACCGGACTTCAAAATCATTTGTCCATATGCTAGTGTCAAGCTTTGAAGGATTTTCCTGCATATTTAGAAAACAGATCATTGTCCTTCTCCATTCCTTATGAGAGAACAAACTATCTAATAAAAAGACAAATATGAATTTTTTTCGAAAAGCTAGAACAGAGAACTTTCTCAGAATCTTCATATACGAAATCAGTTTGCAAAAGAGAAAGAAGGGGAAAGTTAAGGTATTGAATTGACCAAAGGAGCCCTTCCTAATAAATACGTGAAAGTTTGAACATCTAATTTTGATCGATACGTAACAATTAATGAAAATAAATAAATAGCACTTTATTGACAATTAAATGCAATTTTATAGCATACACATGTAGATAAACAGTTCAGCATACTGTCTGGACGGATTAGAAGCTTACTGCTTTGCGGCCACTGCAATCTTACCACCAGGGTTTATGCCTCTTTTCGCAATTTCATCACCAAGGTTCAGGATTGGGGTTCCATCAATATATTCCATAACTAAGACTCTCCTAACCAAACAAAGAACACTTGATCAAATGCATCATTAATGGTAGGGAAAGAAAATGGGGTGCAACATTACATACCTAGTGACCATATCACGTATAAGTCGTGGCACCAAAACAGGACTCCTTTTGTTATTCTCATACAAAAAACGTCTAATCCTTTCCATAGCATCAGCCTCCCTCATGAAATCAAATTCATATCCAATCTTAAAATGGAAACATCGAAGATAGTTATTCTCCAGATTTTGATGATTATATTTCAGACATAATCTATCACACAAATGATTCCACAATTTGTGTGTATTAGATACCTGTTTCTCCATTTCCTTAGTTACAGAGTATAGATCAAATTTGATATCTGTCTTTTGCATATATAAAGCGAAGGCTTGGAGGTTATGGATATCTGTCATCATTAGGTCCTGAACTCCAGGATGTTGCACCTGTTATAGCCCAAAAGAAATCAGAATTTCACAGAACATAAAGAAGCCAGAGAGTTTTCTAAGTTCCCTCACCTTGACAACAACATCAGTTTTATCACCTCTCAATCTTGCTCGGTGAACCTAGTTTGAGCATAAAACACGTATCAGGTAAAAATGTATATGCTTCCACAACCATTCTAATACCGTTTCCAGAATGGTTGCCTCCAATACAAAACAGCTAGCCCAAAAAGGCATTAAACGCAAATAAAAAGATAACTATAAATTCCAACAAGAACTCTGAAATTTGACAAATTGTTCCTTAATCGTAATATCTGACCAAGAATCTTAATTGTAATAAACTGATGCAAATTACATACTTATAGAAGAACAATATCAACATCAAGTCGTGTCTGCTTTCAGAAAGTTTCTCTTGATTAAAAACTTGATACTGATACTAGCTAAGTATATTAACTTGCAATTTCAAATTACTACTGTAACTTCTACTGTGGCATTTTTAGCAAACCAGAAATTACTCATGAATAGAAATACCTGTGCAATTGAGGCAGAGCCAAGAGGATCCACATCGAATCTTTCAAACACTTCGCCAACATTTCGACCCAACTCCATCTCCAACATAAGTTGCACAGCATCAAATGGGGTTGCAGGAGCGTGATCATACAATGTAACAAGCCTTTTCACCCATGCAGCTGGGGCCAAGTCTGGCTTCCCGACAATTTGGGCAACCTAATTGAAACCCCATTCAAGAAGTAACTCAGTATTCAGCACAAAAATTACAAAAACCAAAACCACCAACGATGAATTCCAATGTTCTTTAAGACCAATATGTTCACTGATAACTAGTAACTACCCTAATCTGGAAACCAATTGGAAATCAAATCGAAATGAACAAGTGTTTATACCATATTGGGCCTCACCAGGATCCACCAACCAAGGGAGAACTTTGACCCTTGATATTTACTGAGTGGTTTCTATTAGGCCACATTACCCTTACATTGTGTCCACATGTTGGAACCAACTTAAGAAGTTTAGAAGCCTACAAAAGGGACTGCCGTAGAGGCAGCAAGGGAGGCTTTCCTCACCTTCGTTTGCACTGTTCTTCTCTCCCAAATTCTCTGTAGAAAGGCTCTTATCTGATGCCTCTCCCATGTAATATGTCTATGTATCCTCAAATACACTACAACATACTACAGAGGACGTAGCCTGGTTATGGGTGACCCACTAGAATCCCTTGTGAATGTGTGTGAATGCGGTACTACCAAGCTAGATCACCCTCCAACTTAGACCCACTCTAAGTCCTAGTTGACAGTCTAAAATGCACTTCAACAAGAAGCAATTGATAAAGCATGACTCTTTCACGTTTCTAATCATACACAAAAATCCAGTTTTCAATACAAAAACACATAATCCAAGTGATTTCCCAATCCGCCCCCTAAAATTAAATCCAGTGGCACAAGGGCAAGGAATGAAGGAATCCATACGAAAAATTAAAACAGTAAATTCATCGAACACCTTGAGGAAGAAACCGCCAAGGTCCGAGCACATTGCATATATCTTCTCAGCTGCAAATTCATGCTGCCTCTCCCACATTTCCTCTTGTTTCTTCGCATCCTTCACCAAACTCACTCTCAGCTGAAACGCCTATCAAAACCAAACAAAGAAAAAACCATCAAATCAATATCTATCACCAGGCACTGCAATTCTCAAAGATTCCACGCGTGCACCCACAAGCATACATACAAATACATATACACACACATATGTAGAAATATCTATATATAGATATATGTATAGAGAGAGGTCGGGGGACCTTGTAGCCAGTGTAGATGTCAACAGCTCGAACCCAGAACTGAAGTGAACGCTGCCATGGCCTGAAATGGGTGGCGAGCTTCTGCCGAACATCTTTGAGATCAATGGGAGGCAGAGGAAGCATAGCTCTCTGAGCTTCTCTTGTTCTTATCGCAATTGGGTTTCTTTCAATTTTGCTTAAAATCCTAAAATTCCAATCAAATAGGCAGATTAAACAGAGTAATTAGCATGCAATCGAGGCATTGTTGATGGGTTCGGCTCAAAAATCAGAACTTGGGGGAAGTCACGAATCGATATCGGTGAGTTTTGGGGAAGAGAGAAAGTGAGTGTGTGAGTGTATGAGTGTGTGTGGCTGAGTCGAGTGGCGACACGATTAGGAAGGTTCACAATTGCTTGGCTTGTAAGGCTCGCTTTGCTTACGATGTGTTTTAATCCCTTGTTTCGTTTTGGATACTGTGATGATTGATAGCAAACTCTTTGTTCTTTTGTCGTGTGACCGAATATTTGCGAACTTTGGGGGTGACGAAGGATATTTGGTCGAGATTTGATATTGTCAAAAGTATTAGCAGTTTAGCTCAAGTAGTAAGAAAGGGTGAATACGAGTTATGATTAGATATATAGAGTTTGAAACCCTTGCACGTTACCAAAAAGAAATATTTATCTATGGTTTTGATGTTAGGTTGACGCTTTGCTGGCCGCGGCCGGTGGCTTCTTCCTTGTGGCAGAAGCGATTGATTGTGGTGGTGTGGGGATGTGCTTTTTCTTTTTTGTTGAAAAATATTTACATAAATCATATTCTGTAAACTATATAAACCATTTTTATAATACAAGTGAGACCGACTTGTATTGGTGGACCCTCTCTAGCATCACACTCTTTGGTTACATTAAAAAATTTTGAACCCTAGACCTAACGTACTAACCATACGCCCCTCCCTCACCATTGATAGTGACGAGACGTGCATTGATATGATATTATAGAGGGCAGTGCTATTCGCACACCTCTTTTTATCTTTCGCACATTGTCGTTAATTTTTGTCCACTGACATTCTTCAATTCATTCGATATGACGGCCAAAATTTAAGATAAATGTGTGAAAGGTAAAAACGTGTATATGGACTTATTGATTAGGAGTTTTCTTGTATTTGGGTTTTTTTTTTATGTTGTATAGGGTTTGGGCTGCCCTTTATATTTTTTTGGGCTTGGAGATTCAGTTGTGCCTTTTGTTGGCTATGTTTCCTTGTTTTTGGGTTGGTTTGGTATATGTGGATTCAGTTGTGCCCAAATGATGATCATGTGACTACCAATCCATTAGTTTTATAATTGTACGCATGTTATCATTCGACAATCTGTGTGGTGCTGAATTGATATAAGTTGTTTAACTCTTGCTTGTCCTAATTGGGTTTTGTTTGAAAGATTTACTTGTCCTAAAAGTAAAGTGCAACAAATTTAAATCCAAAAACTGAAATTTAGGCTATGAACTCTTCATAGAGTTTGAACCAAGTCAGTACAGTGTAAATTGGAAATTTTCCAACAAAATTTGATAGGTTTAATCTCTAACGATTTCTATTTTCATTAATCACAAAACACTATCGAACGCTTCCAATAATAAAAAATAACTATTATTATTAGAGGGTATATAAACGATCGGGAGTTGCATGGCGGAGCAAGGGCGGAGGACTTGTAGCTATATATTACAATTTTTTTTGTCAAAATCATTACTTATATTATAATCACTACTTGCAGCTACAGATTACAGTATATCACTGTATTATGTAAAGTTTCTAAACCTAGATATCCTGCATTATCCCCCAAATGTCTTCCGCTTCGACGTCCCGACCTTTTGTTCGTAAAACCAATTATATTGTGGAGAAGGAAAAAGGGGAAGCCTACCGGAAAATCGTTGCGGAAATTTGTAGAGAAATGCTGCCAAATCCTCCGAAAGAGAAGGGTTGGACCTCTAAACACTTGGTTCAGTACCAAGGCTTCTGGATAAACCCTACCTTTATGTTAAAAGCAGCCCAACTTCAACAACATTTCAACTTATTCCAAACAACCGGAAGTTCTACCAGCGCCGCCCGTGGGTCGTCCCCCATATTCTTCTTGGCCACATTTTCGAAATCAGGTACGACGTGGCTTAGAGCACTCATGTTCGCTGTACTCAACAAAAGCCTCTATGATGTTGCCTCTCCTCATCATCCCTTACTCACAACTGGGCCCCACGACTGCTTTCCTCTCTTGGTGTTGGATAACATGCTTGGAAATCATGATCACAACCGTCCCGTAACCTCACTTGATCATGATCACGACGATCGTGACGGTGGTGATGGTATGATTGATAATTAAGTCCCGCCTACAAGCACTACACAACTCTTTGCGACCCACCTGCCTTACTCTTTGTTACCAAAATCTGTGACAACTTCTAGTAGTACTTGCGGTGTGTCAAAATTCGTTTACGTTTGCCGCAACCCTAAAGATGTATTCATTTCTTTATGGATCTTCGCAAGCAAAGTTAAAGCAGTAAACACAGGACTTGCACCCTTCTCACTAGAATAAGCATTTGAGCTTTTCTGCGGCGGTGTCTGCCCATACGGGCCCTATTGGGATCATGTGCTAGGGTTTTGGAAAGCAAGCTTGGAAATGCCAGAGCGAGTTTTGTTCTTAAAATATGAGGATCTCAGGAAGGAGCCATCTGCTAATGTGAAGAGACTGGCTGAATTCTCGGGTCAACCTTTTTCAGATGAGGACGAAAGCAAAGGGCTGATGCAGCAGATCATAAAGCTTTGTAGTTTTGAGAATCTGAGCTGCTTGGAGGTAAATAAAACCTCCAAGACGCAACGGTACTTTATTAAAGCCAATCTTGTCATCGAGAACAGTGACTTCTTCGGGAAAGGCCAAGTTGGGGATTGGAAGAACTTCTTCACTGATGACATGGCAAAACGTATGGATCATATCATAGATGAAAGGATCAGTGGTTCTGGATTGACATTTGCCAATCCATAGCTAGCCTTAAAAATTAATTGCTTAATTATTATGTATTGTGCTTCTCTTTGGTCAATTTAACAATAAACTTGGCATATTAATTATGATCGAGCGGCACCACAATGAATAATAACACGGATTCACTTTCGTATTGACGTTTAAGATAATTCATGTGTGTGTGTGTGTGTATCTCAATATGTGTGTGTCCAAGTCAACTAGCTAGTCCGCATTTTATGATAGTGTAGTATTATGCATATATGTGTGAAAGGATTATGATGCAGGGATTTGCTTTCTCCATAATTGAAATTTTATAAGTTTTCACAAACACTCCCTCGTCCCCGCTTCCACTTAACTTATGGCTTGTTTTAAACTACTTTTTGTGAAAATATTTTTAGAACCAATCTTTAGTAGAAATGCAAGTGAGTCTTGAAACAACACTTGAAGTGATTGCTACAAAAATCACATAACTGGTGCTTCTTACAGAAAGTCATTTAAGTGCTTTTGGAACTCAAATATATTTTTGTAAAAACGCTTTTAATCGTTTTAAAAACACTTTTGAACGAACATTTCCTTATGTTTAATAATTACTATTACATACTAGTCTCGATATTTCTTATTGAACAGGATAATTAAGCAAACTTTTGTTAAGAAACGTGAACAAACATTGTAATTTCATACATAGCAAATATAACAAATTGTTTTCTTCCTCTAAAAAACCGTTCTTTCCTTTTCTGTATAATGCCCATTTCAGTCAGTGACACTCACAAGAGGGGATAATCATAGAGGCGGGCCACGGGGACGATGGAGAATTATTTTCTCAAAAATAGTTTACAAGAAGAAATAATATTAGCTAATCAACAACGAGCAAACTAGGCATTTTAGCCCACCCCGGTCCAATAATATTTATTTCATTATAAGAATTTACAGCTCTCTAATTGGAGTAGAACTTTTATTTATATTTATCTCACATTGGTCAAATTGAAAAGTTTCTTACATTTTATGACATCAAGTCCGTCTTACGAAGTGATTGGAAAGATGAAGTATGGAGAGCAAATTTGAACTTGAACTTTGAATTTAAGCTTTAGGGTGTGATAATTATATATATATATGTGTGTGTGTGTGTATATAACTAAAATATATTTAATTATGAAAAGATGAGCCTTGGGTTTAGGTCTCTTAGACCATCTCCAACTCTTAGAGTAAAACTCAAATTTTAGGTTCTAAACTTATCCCAACTTATCCCAACTTGCTCCAACTCTTAGGGCAAATATGAGTTAAAACTCAAAACTCATTTCTAGGGCAAATGTAGCCCAGGATTTCCCCTGAGTTAGTGGGGTTGGCCCACCATATATGTATATTTTTTTAGTCTTATATTTATAAATTCATTGAATCCAACGGTTAAGATCTAACTTGATCAAATCCAACGGTAAAAAAGATATCTAGCGGTCCAAATTTAAATTCAACGGCTAAAGTAATTAAAAAAATTATTTTATGTGTTTCATATTCTTTCGTAGTGTTCCACGAGTTTCATGGTATCGGTTTAGTGATTTTTCAATATTTATCGGAGTTTAAATATTTTTAGGTTAAAATGTTAATAAAATTAAATTATGATAGTCTACATATATATATTTTTTAAGTTACTTTAAGAAATAAATTATCCTAAATTCTTAATAATCTCGGGCTAAAAATTTAACCCAGAAGGTTTGGAGGAGAAAAGTTGTTTCTGAGTTAAAACCTAAATTTTTTGGGCTAAAAATTTAGGTTTTAACCCAAGTGTTAGAGATGATCTTAGGTTCGGACTCTAATGTCAATTAAAATAATTAATTTATTAATTTTGGATTTAATTATTTTTATTTTATTTCACAAATATTTATTTATTTTTATTAATTCGGTAGGGTCATCCTTTTGGGTGAAGCGTGAGATGATGAAAGAAATCTAGGAAAATGCATCATTTCTGAGCACATTCCTCCTATAAAATACATCTCAAATTGATACATGTTGCGAACAGGTATATGTACATTATACATCCATTTGCATTGCATTTAGAATACAAAAAAAAAAAATCATTTTCATACTATTGAGAGAAGCACAAAGAAGTTTACGAACCAGTGTAACAGTATATCTCTTGACTTGTCCCCTTCAGAACATAACAACCCAATTGAATTGTTGTTTAACTCAAACATATCTGCACAAAAAGGGATGAGTCCAAAGCTTCAAGACAAAAAAACCCTTCTTTGGCCAATAAGTAAAAGATAGAAAATAAGGAGGAAAAAAAATTGTAGTGAAAGAAGAAATTGGTAGTGGGATCATAAATAAAAAGATGACGGGAAAAACCCTTAGTGAATAGGGTAATAAACACAAATTAATAAGAAAAAAAAGGTTACAAGAGTTACAAAAAATAAAAGGAAAACCAATGGAAAATGTTTGAAAACTTTGAGTTTTAATGATAAGGACAAAATAAAGGGTCAAGTAAATAGTACCATGTTTGACTTTTTAATGTAAAAATATGATTTTTCGTTAAAGTGAATAGTACCATGGGCTTGTCGTTAAAACTCCCAAAAATAAAAGACTGAAGATTCCATCTTAATTTCTCATTACGTCACAAAAACTAAAAGACTGAAGATTCCATCTTAATTTCTCACTAACCACAAATAATGACAAATAAACTTACTTTCCTACTAACCACCAAATAATAACAATTATAATTAATTTAATATTACAAATGAACTAACCTAGCTAGATCGTGCTCATTCTCATTACGTCACAAAATGTCTTCAGCTTTGTCCCACCCTTCTTCTTCTAAGCCACACCGCCGTAATATTGTTCCTGAACCAATTACATTAAGCAGAAGGAAGGCCTGGAAGCCTACCAAAAACCTATATGCAGAGTTTCCGCTAAACCTTTCGAAAAAGATGGGTTACGCCACTTGGTTCAATACTAAGGCTACTGGCTAAACCATGCCTTTGCCTTAAAAAATAGTATTGTTGCTTCAACACCATTCCAACTTCCTCAAAACTTCTGCACCAGCTGCAAGTACTTGTGCCGCCGCCCGTGGCTCCTACATTTTCTTCCTGGCTACATATCTAAAATCAGGTAGAACATGGCTTAGAGCACTCATCTTTGCTACCATCAAGATAATTTATAGAATTTTTACCACCTGCAAAAATAGAGATAAAAACACTTAAAAATACTTTAAAGAGAACAAGGTAATCGTAGTATAACAGCTCAAGCAAGGTCGTTTTCCACAAAGATTGAATGAATAATTTATGTAAAATCAATCTTAGTTAATTATTTGAAAGTTGAAACGAAGTTTTGGAAAATATTGATTTTAAGACCTAAAATAAGAAAAACGAATTTAATTAAAAAATATTAGAAAAATAAGCAAAAGTAAAAGAAACTAAAATAAAACGATTTGGAAAATCAATTTGTAAAAGCACTAACTGAACACTGAATTATTGACCCATTCTATTGAGATATGGTCTTACCGCTTTTGGGTACATAGCATTTTTAGAATTTTTAGCATTTTTAGTTCATAAACCCCACCATTCACCATTATTAATGTGCAATGCACGTTATTGATTTAACGTGCTCTCTACTCAACTACTTTAGAAATGACTTTATTTAAAAAGATCATGATATTTATTTATGAAGAAATAACACTAGTGTCCAATGCAATTTTGCTAGATCCATCTGAAGTGACTCCTGCTTTTGGATTTTTTTCCGATATTCAATTCACGTTATTGATTTAACGTGCTCTCTACTCTACTCAACTACTTTGAAATGACTTTATTTAAAAAGATCCTGATATTTATTTATGAAGACATAACACTAGTGGCCATGCAATATTGCTAGATCCATCTGAAGTAGGTCTGGCAAACGGATCGTGTTTGTGTCATTTTCGTATAACATATATTATTTTAACGAATCGTGTCGTGTTACACCCATTATCTTAACGGATCCTTAATAGGTCGGGTCAATGGGTAAAGTGACCCGACTTGTTATGATTCATTATGACCCATTAAGAAAAATGTATTTTTTTTCTTAAATTTGCACATACCACACATTGCCACATAAATATTACTTTAAAACATTAAAACACATTTGTCTTTTAAGTACTACACCTACACTTGAAAATAAGAGTCTAAGAAACAAACATTCATACATTACTAGTCTATTACAAAATATTAAATGTGCAAGGATATGCAAAATGAAAGAGTTTTTGTTTTCAAGGTTGTGAAGCCTTTCTCAAAAGTTTAAACATTGTCAATGGAATTCAAAGCTTGCATATTATTCCTTTTACAAAACCCTTAAATTTCATCGATCATCATGACATAAGATTTTGTAATATCCACTAGTGTAAATATTTTAAATTGAAGATCGAATTCATTCATTGTATTCATACAGGGTGAAATAGTGTAGCTATAAAAAAAATCATCAAAATCAGAGTTAAAATAACCGTTAAATCGTAATTTTTCGTTGATAACCGTCGAAAAGTTTTGTCCCGTTACTTGATCTCTGAATGTTTGTTTTTTGCAATTTTTGACGTATGCAATCTTGAAGCATATACAAACAAGTTTGACGGTTAGATAGTTGAAATTAGTTTCATAGAATGCGTATCCCATCAAAACGATAGATTCACAAATACTTAAAGTTTATTTATACTTTCATTAAGTATAACATAAGATTTTGTGGTATCCACTAGTGTCAATATTTTGAATTGAAGATCGAATTTATTCATTGTATTCCTATAGGGTCAAGGAATGTAGCTGAAAAAATCATCAAAATCGGAGTTAAAATAAACGTTAAATCGTAATTTTTCGTTGATAACTGTCGAAAAGTTTTGTCCCATTACTTGATTTCTGAATGTTTGTTTTTTGCAATTTTTGGCGTATGCGATCTCAAAGTATATACAAACATGTTTGACGGTTGGATCGTTGAAATTAGTTTTGTAGAATGCGTATCCCATCAAAACGATAGATTCACTAACACTAAAGAGTTTATTCATACTTTCATTAAGTATA